AGACAGGGACATCTGTGCATTCTTAATTGGATCTCTGCGCACAGGATCCAGTATGCGTAGGTCCAGGTGGTGAAGGAAAACGCCATCAAGTCGCAGCCGACTTATGGCGACCATGTAGGGTTTTCAAGGCAAGAGATTTCCAGAGGTGGTTTGCCATGGCCTGCCTCTGTGTAGCAACCTGGATGTCAGGGCCCTTAGTCAGGTTACGCAACACAGGGCTTCATGAGAAGATAACTGTTTATTGGTAGACCCAGTACTAGAGACACGTGTACAGCTTGTGTCACGAATGGCCGCCAATACCAGGGCCTCTGACTTATACTAGAATCAAACTTCCCCCCCTGTAAGCGTGAGCCAATGGATACATCTCGCGCGGGCAAAGCAAGCAGGCGAAGCAAAAAGCCGTTAACTTTCCCAGCCGAGAAAAACTGCAGCTGGAGCATCTACAAGGTCAAGCATAAGACAGCAAACAGTTGGTGAGTCAGGGAGAGCTGAGACAGAAAACGGGAGGGCACCCCTCCACATTCAAGACCTATGACAGGGCTACCTGACACCTCCCATCCAAGCATTAACCGGGGCTGATCCTGTTCAGCTGCTAAAATCTGATAAGATCAGGTTAGCCTGGGCTATCCAGGGCAGGGCAGGTCCAGGTAGCGCTCTCAGTTTTCCACAGTGGGCTAGAGAAGCATAATTGATTCTTTAAGAAAAATCTAATCCTACTCTCTTAGTCAAGAGAAGCTGAGAATAAATGAATGCTGCCTTCCACGAGTGGAGTAAAGCATTCAGCGGAGTCTAATTTGGTATGTGTGTTTCAGCCCTAATATCTACAGAAAACGAGTCTTGTATGCAGGGGTCATTTCGTAGGAAAAGAGGTGCAGGAGCTCATTAGCATAGCTCATTAGCATAACTCATTTGCATATGCCACACCCCCTGGCATCACCGGAAGTGTGTCAGAAGGCAACCCCCACCGCTCAGGCGCCACTGGACTGTTTTGGATTGCTAGCTAGTGGGGGGGGACGTGCAGATCTGTCCTCACAGAGGAGGGAGAGCTTGTACCTGAATAAAACTTGGTCTTAAAAGTACCACTGGACTGTTTTGGATTGCTAGCTAGTGGGGGGGGACGTGCAGATCTGTCCTCACAGAGGAGGGAGAGCTTGTACCTGAAGAAAACTTGGTCTTAAAGGTGCCACTGGACTGTTTTTTGGGGGGGCTCTGCAACTTACCTGGCTGCTTCTTGCTCTGACTGAGGGCTGCTGGGAGCAGGGGGTGGGGCTTGTTGCATGGGCCCGCCCCCTGGGCTCTTTACTGCCGGAGCTCCGCTCCTGCAGGAAATTACCCCTGCTTGTATGTATTGGAGGGTATGAGCGCTCTGCCAGCTCTCCTCCCACCAAGATGGCCACCGCCCATCCCATAGTTTTGATTGTCTGATGGAATCAAGTGTGGCTCTTTAGATGCTAAACATTCCTCTGTCCAGGGACTGCCTGCAGTTTATTTCCACCCAGTCAGAATCCACAAAGTGGGAGTGATGGAAAGTGCCGTCAAGTCACAGCTGACTGACAGCGAGCCCCAGTGGGGGTTTCAAGGCAAGAGACGTTCAGAGGTGGCTTGCCGTGGCCTGCCTCTGCATCATGACCCTGGTGTTCCTTGGAGGTCTCCCCTCCAAATACTAGCCAGGGCCGACCCTGCTTAGCTTCCGAGATCCAAGGAGTTCAGGCTAGCCTGGGCTATCTGGGTCAGGGCGAGGCGGTGAACATATAAAAAACATCAAAACATTTAGATACCATTAAAAATATAAATTCAATTAAAGACACATAAACAACCCTAGAAAGAGAGCCAATAACCATTACTAGGGGCAGGGGTAATTTCCTGCAGGAGCGCACAGGAGCGGAGCTCCGGCAGTAAAGAGCCCAGGGGGTGGGCACATGCAACAAGCCCCACCCCCTGCTCCCAGCAGCCCTCAGTCAGAGCAAGAAGCAGCCAGGTAAGCTGCAGAGCCCGACCCCCCAGTCCAAAACAATCCAGTGGCACCTTTAAGACCAAGTTTTATTCAGGTACGAGCTCTCCCTCCTCTGTGAGGACAGATCTACACGTTCCCCCCCCCAATAGCTAGCAATCCAAAACAGTCCAGTGGAGCCTGAGCGGTGGGTGTTGCCTTCTGACACACTTCCGGTGATGTCAGGGGGTGTGGCATATGCAAATGAGTTGTGCTAATGAGCTCCTGCACCTCTTTTTCTACGAAATGACCCCTGACTAGGGGTATGCCAGACTAAACAAAAGAATCTTCACCTGCTGGCAGAAGACATCAATAGAGGGAGGCAGACTGATCTCTCTGGGGAGGGAGTTAGAAAGTTTTGGTGCCACCGTGGAGAAGGCGCTTTCTCAGGTTGCCATGTGCCTGGCCTCAGAGGGCGGGAGCAACCAAAGCAGGGCCGTCGAGGATGACCGGAGCGAGCGGGTGTCCAGTAGGGGGAGGTAGGCCATGCAGCTGAATTGGGAGGGAAGGGGGCAGAATAAGGTGGCCAGCAGGGTCTCAGCAAATGCCGGAAGATTTTGAAGGCCGTATCTGAGGAGGGTGGACCGGGGAAGGGGGTGACATCATTTCCGGGTGACGCTCTAGGAATTTCCCTTAATCTCTGTGGTAGAGACCATAAAGGCATTGGAAATGGCTAGAGTTTCGCTGTGAAGGCCATTTTCCACTCATTTCCCCCTCACACTCTTCAGTTTCTGGAGGGCACAGGGTTGCATCTGAGGGAGGGGTGTGTCCGCCACAGGTGGGCAAACGGCAAGCATATGGCAGAAGCTGTCCAGTGGTACAGAGGAAGCAGGGCTGCCGGACCCACTGAGGCTCAGACGCACAGGCAAAACCTGGGAGACCGTGAGTGGTACCTCAGTCGTCAAGGTGTGGGTCAGTCACAGCTCTCTCAGAGTTCTCTCAGCCCCACCTACCTCACAGGGTGTCTGTTGTGGGGAGAGGAAGGGAAAGGTGATAGTAAGCCGCTCCGAGACTCCTTTGGATAGTGAAGGGCAGGGTATAAAACCTTCTTCTTATCTAGCAACCCAGAAAGCAGCTCAGCTCTCACCCTGAGGAAGGAGAAGCTAGAACGTCGATCGTTCAGGATTAGCATTTGGAGTAGAGGAGTCCTAAATGAGGGTTAGGTGCTTGGGAAAGCCCGATACCTGCTGGACTGGAGACTGCAGGGGGGGGGTCCCACTTTGATCGGATGATCCCAGGATGCAGTGAGGAAAGGCTGCACGAGGATATTCTGGACTTCACAGCATATTTGGCCGTGGTTGATCAACAGTCCACCGAATTGACAGGATTTGACTGGTCAGGTGACTGGAATCCAGGCGGCCCGATAGAATTTTGGCCCCGGGTCCCAGTGGTTCAGAGCAAATTTGACCGTGGTTGATCAACAGTCCACCGAATTGACAGGATTTGACTGGTCAGGTGACTGGAATCCAGGCGGCCCGATAGAATTTTGGCCCCGGGTCCCAGTGGTTCAGAGCAAATTTGACCGTGGTTGATCAACAGTCCACCGAATTGACAGGATTTGACTGGTCAGGTGACTGGAATCCAGGCGGCCCGATAGAATTTTGGCCCCGGGTCCCAGTGGTTCAGAGCAAATTTGACCGTGGTTGATCAACAGTCCACCGAATTGACAGGATTTGACTGGTCAGGTGACTGGAATCCAGGCGGCCCGATAGAATTTTGGCCCCGGGTCCCAGTGGTTCAGAGCAAATTTGACCGTGGTTGATCAACAGTCCACCGAATTGACAGGATTTGACTGGTCAGGTGACTGGAATCCAGGCGGCCCGATAGAATTTTGGCCCCGGGTCCCAGTGGTTCAGAGCAAATTTGACCGTGGTTGATCAACAGTCCACCGAATTGACAGGATTTGACTGGTCAGGTGACTGGAATCCAGGCGGCCCGATAGAATTTTGGCCCCGGGTCCCAGTGGTTCAGAGCAAATTTGACCGTGGTTGATCAACAGTCCACCGAATTGACAGGATTTGACTGGTCAGGTGACTGGAATCCAGGCGGCCCGATAGAATTTTGGCCCCGGGTCCCAGTGGTTCAGAGCAAATTTGACCGTGGTTGATCAACAGTCCACCGAATTGACAGGATTTGACTGGTCAGGTGACTGGAATCCAGGCGGCCCGATAGAATTTTGGCCCCGGGTCCCAGTGGTTCAGAGCAAATTTGACCGTGGTTGATCAACAGTCCACCGAATTGACAGGATTTGACTGGTCAGGTGACTGGAATCCAGGCGGCCCGATAGAATTTTGGCCCCGGGTCCCAGTGGTTCAGAGCAAATTTGACCGTGGTTGATCAACAGTCCACCGAATTGACAGGATTTGACTGGTCAGGTGACTGGAATCCAGGCGGCCCGATAGAATTTTGGCCCCGGGTCCCAGTGGTTCAGAGCAAATTTGACCGTGGTTGATCAACAGTCCACCGAATTGACAGGATTTGACTGGTCAGGTGACTGGAATCCAGGCGGCCCGATAGAATTTTGGCCCCGGGTCCCAGTGGTTCAGAGCAAATTTGACCGTGGTTGATCAACAGTCCACCGAATTGACAGGATTTGACTGGTCAGGTGACTGGAATCCAGGCGGCCCGATAGAATTTTGGCCCCGGGTCCCAGTGGTTCAGAGCAAATTTGACCGTGGTTGATCAACAGTCCACCGAATTGACAGGATTTGACTGGTCAGGTGACTGGAATCCAGGTGGCCCGGTAGAATTTTGGCCCCGTGTCCCAGTGGTTCAGAGCAAACGACGAGTCTCACACAAACGTCTTCAAGGCTTCTCCCGGCTTCCCTGATCTGATCTGAGTGGCATGTGTTACGCTTGGCCTGTTGCCTGTGTTACGCTCGGCCGTGTGGCGGCAACACCCTCCCTGGGCGTCCTCAGCGGGAAGCGATCCTAGAAACTGTCGCTCTTGGGAGCGTGTCTCGGCAAGAAGGGCCGTCTTAATGACCCGAGGCTTGTTTTGCCCTTCCAGGAATCTCCGGCAGCCAGAGACGGTCACCCGAAGGACTCTGCCTCGCTCAGCAACGCCCCAGGGAAGGAAAGCCAAGATGAAAGCAAAAGGTGGGGGGTTGTCTCACAGTTATTCCGATGGTTCCTGCGCTGATTCCAGCACCATGGTGGGAGTTTTGATCCCTCTTTTATTTTCCCTCACGCAAAGCCTCTGGGGTGGGTGGGGCTGAGGGCAGCCATTTGCTGAGGGGCTCTTTTAGGCTCTGGCCTCCTCTGAAAGGGAAGCAGCGTGTGTGTGTGTGTGTGTGTGTGTGTGTGTATTTTACCCCACCCCTTCAGGACAGCATATGTGGCTCTCGCTCTCGCTCTCTCTCTCTCGTCACCCATTTTATCTTCACAACAGCCCTGTGAGGTAAGTTGGGTGCTGAGAGAGTGACTGGGCTGTGGCCACCCAGTGAGTTTCATGGGGAGCGTGGACTTGAGCCTGAGTCTCCCAGGTTCTAGCCTAATCGCTGTGTCCTCGCTGTGGAGAGCTGCTCATACGGAGAGCGAGGGTAGATTCCGCCCATGGGGGGAGGGGAGCCTCCTTGAGTCTCCCGGAAATGGCTGTCGGTGAGTCCAGGCCCACTAACAGGCTGCATTCCCTCCTTTCCTTCCTGCATTCCCTCCCGAGAGCCAGTTCGGTGTAGTGGTTAGGAGCGGGGACTCTAATCTGGGACAACCGGGTTTGATTCCCCACTCCTCCACATGCAGCTGCTGGTGTGACCTTGGGTCAGTCAGAAGTTCTTTTAGAGCTGTCCTTGGAAAAGAGCCGTTTCTGTCAAGAGCTCTCTCAGCCCCACCGACCTCACAGGCAGTGTTCCCTCTAAGCTGAGTTAGTGTGAGCTAGCTCACAGTTTTTTAGCCTCCAGCTCACACATTTTTGTCTTCACTCAGGAAGGATGGCTCCAGAGCAAACTCATTTGTGCAGCAGCCCAATCGCTCGCTCACAGCTTTAATGCCAGTTGCTCACAAAGGAGAATCTTTGCTCACAAGACTCCACAGCTTAGAGGGAACATTGCTCACAGGGTGTCTGTTGTGGGGAGGGGAAGGAAAAGGAGTTTGTAAGCTGCTCTGAGACTCCTTTGGGTAGTGAAGGGCGGGGCATAAATCCAATCTCCTCCTCCTCTTCTTCTCCTGGAGTCTTGCAAGAGCTGACATTCTCTTGAGATCTCAGGGGACTCACGGGCTGTACCTGCAGCCTCTTTCCCCCTCCGATTGCCCTGGCCAGGCTAAACTGCCTTAAAAGACCAGTACTGCATCAAGGCTGTTGCAGCATCCCCCTTCCTTAGCAGCTGGTGGGTGTGGCTGAGTCGGGGCCTTAAAGGGCCCATACCGTGCGACCGCTGCAGCATTTCCCCCTGTCATTGTCCTCGTGGGTTCCCCTGTTGCTGTCCCCGTGGGTTCCCCAATGAGCATCCGGTGACTCCCGGGTAAGTCCAGGGTGGCTCTGGAAAATGGGGGTGGGCTCACTCCTGGCCAATAATAGTGGCAACTATAGGAAACCTCCTCTCTGTGTCAGGGGCCTGTGGTCCGGCCAGCAGTCTGCCCTTTTCCCTGATGGGTTCTGGGCCACGGGGTTTGTGCTTGCGAGAAGCTGGCCTGGATTTGACTGTAAATGCAGTTCTCAGACCCGGTGATCTAAGTTGGATGTTTCTCCATGCAGACCAGGAGGACTGGCACCCTGAGACTCTTGGCGTTCATTTCTTTTTTTAAAAGCCAGTTTCCAGTCCTTATGTTTGCTGAGGGAGTCTTAAAAACGGGCAGCCCATGCCTGCCGGATTTTCAGGAACACTGGAGGGGTCGTGGGCAATGTTCCCTCTAAGCTGTGGAGTCTTGTGAGCAGAAATTCTACCTTGTGAGCTACTGGCATTAAAAGTTGTGAGCGAGCCTACTGTATATATTAGTTTGCTCTGG